ATTAACCCCACGTGGGGTAATACAAGGGTGTGTCCAGAAGGACCAATTTTGGTTATTTTGTTTTCATTAAATGTAAAAAGCTAAGTATTGATATAACCTCGTATAATTACACTGCTGGAAGTGACTCGAAAACAAGGCACATAATGTTGTAGATTCTAACAGGTTGTTCAGTTCGCTTTGGATTGTTGTGGAATTTACTTGTTTGTTAGTGTTAGTTTATTTATTTAGTGGTCATTTCATAAAAGACTATTACAATAAGGACAATTAGTAGTGTGATAGTGCATTCTAGTACGGTTCTTATTCAACCGTCAGTTGGTGGTGAGTTACATTACCAATGCCTATCGGATAATTCGAAATATTCCCGGTATCTGGGCCAAAATTCGCAGCAACTGGGTACGTCGCTGTCAGTGTTGCATTGAAGCGAATGGCGGACAATTTAAACATTTTTTTAAAAAGGTACGCATTTGTTTGTCACTTTTACCTTTTTTTTATAAGGTGGAAGTGCATTCGGCTTCTTTCCGGGAGGTACTTGTTACATCCACACTATATCAGCTGAGCGACGTTGGTCGCCCAGATCCAGGCCCGTAATGAAACAAATTGTACGTTCAAATCTACAAAGACGATTTGCGAGCTCAATTGTCACTTGATTGAAAAATTGTATAACACTTTTTTGTTGTATTTTGTGTCAGGAAGCCATGTTTTTTTTTAATTATTATAACTGGGACACCCTGTATAAGACATGTCACTTAATTTTATTTTTTCCTTTTTACGTTTTTTTAAATATAACCTTGTTTTTAAAAATGTTTTTTTATTTTTATTTTTTTATTTTTACTTTTTAGTCTCAAAGGTTTATTATTAAAATCATTTATTTCCAAAATCTAGCATGTAGCATTTTTATTTTTTAGACCATTAACTTTATTACACCCTTTACATTATTTACACCATCAACATAATTTAGACTATTTATATTATTGACATTATTTACACACACGTAAAAGTAAGCGGTGCAATATAGAGATTACACTCCTAAACACATACATGAGCCACGCTTGGTAGACAAGAATGGGGAGGCTACGAAGCACTCCAAAGAGGAGACGAAGATAATAGGAAACGCTATAGGTGTATACGTTTATCTATTTTTATGGTGAATTCCTGTTTCGTCGCTTCCCGTTTCGTCGCCTGTGCAATTTTACCTGTTTGTGTTCCTGTTTCGTTGCCTCATACCTAAATCATTTCTACCTGGATTGTAACCTTTCCTGTTTCGTCGACTCGGCCAATGAAAGGGGTGATTAAGAATTGCCACCCCACCACAGGCACCTTTAATTAGTAGGTATAATATGTAATTACTTTCTGTAGATTATTATGCATGTATTAACCATGGAGATTGTGGAATCAAAAAGAGGAAAGCCAGTGATTTTGTATCTGGGGTATAGGTTTATTCTAAATAAAGTTCAAAAGAGCCAAAATAAAAAGTCGACGTGTTCTACGCGTAAGTGCCCTGGAAGCATCACTACCGACGGAAAGACAACAACTGTACTTAGAACCAGTGACCATACGTGTGAACCGGACATTGCAAAAAACGAAGTTGAGGTATGCATCAACAAAACAAAAATGAGGGCGAGGAAAGAGAATGTACCCATGCCGCAAATATACAGTGAAGAAATTATTAATGTTAAAGACAAAGCTTTAGATTTTATTAATTACTAATTCACGTAAAGAGATTTAGAGAGGCGACGAAACAGGAATTATTAATTACACCAATGTATAGGTTTAAAGGGCAGGCGACGAAACAGGAATCAACCATTTTTATTGTCGCATTTTTGTTCTATCGAGTTTCAAATCCTGATAATATCATAATATTGCATTGTCACGGGACATACATAAATATGCCAAATTTCAGCTCAATCGGATAACCAGAAGTAGTCGAAAAATGGCTTGCAAGATTTGACGCTGACAACTTACATACGCACATTGCAAGTTAAATAAAAGGTTGTAAAAAAGAATTAATTTATATAGAGAGTAATTTTGTTTTTTTATAACTGAATAAAAGTGAACATTTTCTTTGCCGAACCCGTAATTAGTTAATAAAGTTCAGGTACTTCAATTACTCAAAACCGCTAAACAGATTAATTCGTTTTTAGACTATGCAACTATTCCCAAACCACTAACTCAGTATTTAAAGAAAAATTGCTACACTAATATTAACAGCATAATTGGTAGTTCTCCAACCCTGTCATACCCGGACTTCAACAAACCTTTTGATTTAACTATAACTAAGTCGGTGTAGGAGCCGTCTTTTCCAAGGGTCTGTAGGTAGGGATCGCTCTATAATGTATATCAGTCGTACGCTTTATGAGCAAGAACAAAATTATTCAATTGTAGAGCCTGTACATATATGGGCAAACTTTTAACATTACAACATATCATACACCATTACAATGGCAATTCATTATGAAAGATCCGAATTTTAAATTAGTTAGATGGTGATGCTGATTTTTGATTTTCTATCAGAGAGATTCTGGAGACATATCCATTAGAAACATAGGAAGATCTTTTATCAATGAAATATAAGTTAGTTAATGTACTACGCGAGTACGCGTATCTCAACGTTATCAATTGCGTATTTACAATAGAAAGAAGGTTGTACGAAAATATAACGAAATTAGTCTATAAAAATTTTGATAATTTTGTTAGATATGTGTACACCAAAGAGCTATTAAAGGAGGTCGTCAACATTCAACAGCGAACCAAAATTTCCAAAACGACTTCATGAACTAGATTATCCTGGAGCATAAGAGTTATCCGCCAAAATCTACAGAGAATATTGTTGACGCAACATAGCATTTTATTTTTATTAATTGCTGTAATACAAAACTGTAAACAAGTCTGCGTTGTTAAATTTATAAATCATATAAGGTATAAAAAAATTATCAATCGTAATTTAGACATAAATCAAAGATACATTGTCGGTATAATTAAAGTATTGTAAATCCTTAAAAAATGTTGGTAGCGTTCAGGGAAGTCGACGAAGGTTTTTTGTACCACAGTGATTAATATACTGTTTAATTCTTTTTGTTTCTCCAATTCCGGATTAATGGTTTTATCTGAACAGTACAAAATGTACGGTTGTTTTCCTTTCGATAGATCTATATAAAAGCCGAGTTTCTTTTGTTTTGTCAATGTAATCCCGAGACTCTACAAAACAATCTTTATTTATATAATGAAAATTACATTTAGATGTATTTCGAGTACCTTCTCGTTTTCGGTCTCAGCAATCTCCACATCATGTTTTGTTCTTTCTATCCTCTGCTTGATTTCTTCAACTTCCTTTTCGATTTGTTGTATTTGTTTACGTGACAGTTCCACTTCCAATTCAGCTTTATTCAAATCCGCCGCAACTTCTTCAATTTCCTGTAATAAAGAAAATGAACCAGGAGTTGTAATTTAATTCTTTTTGTCCAATGACAAACAAACAAACTATTTCGCATTTATTCGATTAAGTACTTTAGATTAAGTTAACTTGTCGCAAATCTTATTGTAAGTTATTTAAAATTTAACTATTGAATAGCTTTTACATTAACAAATACTGCTTCTAACTTCATTAGAATAAGAACCCCAACTTGAACTGCCACCAGATCTCAAAAAATTTTGTGTCTTAAATTAAACTATTTCAACAGTAACTAAACAAAGTAAAACAAAGCCAGAAATATCATACGATCTAAAGCTAAACTAATGTGAATTTCCAGGTATAATTCTATAAAAGTAGCGAAAAAGTTAACTGACTTCAATTTGACCGACTTGAGAAGAAAGTTGGTGGAGCGGGACGAATATTTTAGTGACAAAAGTCTGAGAAGGTAAACTGATGATGTTTTAACACGGGCTGGTTGTAATCCAGACACTTGCATTTGAAGACGAATTGAAACAAAACCTAACGTAAAATTCCAGGGGATTGGAAGAAAACTTAAATCCACATCTTAAAAGACAACTGAATAGAAATCAATCTATTTATTTAATTATTTATTTATTTATNTCGATTTCTGGCAAGGGCGTGACAGCGGCAACGATTTAAATTGAAGTAATTAATAGAGGGGTAGAATATTAATTCAATTTAATTTTTAAAAATTATTCTAATTAATATCTGATGATCCCTCGTCTTTCAGGTGAATTGTTCCTGATGTATGTATGTATGTACGTAGGTAGTAATGAGGTTAAATATTTAAACTAAATGAGAATACATTCCTTTTGAATTTCTTTATGTCTTAGTCTTGTTTCCTCCAGTTTTCTTTCAAAATTCATTCTTGTTTGAATTCAGTGGGCCGAAAAGAAAAATTCGAGAGAAATTGACCGAAACAGAAAATAAACAAATGCCCACTTAAATAAATACATGCACGGATGAAAGAACTAAAAGAAAATTTCTTGAAGATAATTACACCAGAAATAACCGATCTGTCGGGAAAACCAGAACGTCATCAAGGAAACCATTGGCGTGAAGAAACATTTCCGTTCCATGGAATATACCCACGAAGCTACCGAAGTTCGGTGGGAAGACACCATAGACTACAATTCAAGGCAGCCACAGGTCTAATACATGGTCTAGTAATGAACTACGGCTAGAAGCCGGTGCCAAAGTCAGGGGAATGCTTGCAAGAATATGAGGCAGATAGCGTGCGTTTGTTGTTGCTGTCACAATTTTTCCTCTTTAGCATGAGGTAATGTATCGTAGTTATGGCGTTCCACAGAAAAGAAATTCAGCGGATTCGCAAACACTGGTGGATAACAAAGTGGCAAAAATTGTGGAAATGGTCATTGTGTCGGGAGTATGAGATTATGGTCATAACTTCAAAGACTATATAAGTATTAATGTTACCCAACTAATAAGTAGACATACGAGGGTGGATTGATAAGTTTCCGGCCTGACCAAGAAAAACAAGGTTTTTAAAAATTTTTTTTTTTTATTTCTCAACATAATCTCCTCCAAGGCTGATACATTTCTCATAGCGGTGTTCCAGTCTATTAATGCCATCTCTATAGACTGATTCGTCAAGCTCCTCAAAATAACCATTTACAGCTTCGATTACTTCTTCATTGTCCGCAAATCTCTTACCGCCAAGCCATTTTTTGAGATTAGGGAACAGAAAATAGTCACTCGGGGCTAGGTCTGGAGAGTAAGGAGGGTGCGGCATCAATTCAAACTTTAGATCGTTGATTTTAGCCGTCGCAACGATTGACGTGTGCGCTGGTGCGTTATCGTGATGAAACAAGATTTTTTTCTTCGCCAGATGAGGTCGTTTAATTTTCACCTCGTGGCTCAAACGTTGCAATAAGTCTGCGTAGTATTGACCAGTGATAGTATTACCCTTTGCAAGGTAATCAATGTATATAATACCTCTTGCATCCCAAAAAACAGTAGCCATAACCTTGTTCGCCGAAAAAATTGTTTTTGCCTTCTTTGGAGTTGGTTCCCCTGGTCCAATCCACTGTTTAGACTGTTCTTTGGTTTCAGGAGTGTAGTGGTGGACCCACGTTTCGTCAACGGTTACGAATCGACGCAAAAATTCGCTTGGATTACGCTTATACAATGACAAATTTGCGGTAGAAATGTTTTTTCGAATCAATTTTTGGTCGACTGTTAGCAAACGCGGCACCCATCTTGCACAGAGCTTTTCCATATGCAAATGTTGGTGCAAAATATGTTGCACACGTTCATATGACATCTTACAGGTCTCAGCTATCTCACGCACTTTCAATCTGCGGTCTCCCAGCACTATTTGATGAATTTTTTCGATCATATCTGGAGTTGTGACCTCAACGGGGCGTCCTGAGCGAGGCCCATCAGAGGTGCTCACACGACCCTTTTTAAACTCGGAAACCCACTGCTTAACGGTTGAATATGACGGGGAGGATGTCCCCAGTGTTGAGTCCATCTCTTTTTTAATTTCCTTCGGCGTTAACCCCTTCAAATAAAAGTATTTGATGACAGCACGATTTTCCTGCTTTTCCATTTTTACGAAAACCACAGAGGCGTCTTGTTCAGCGTGCTGTCAAACCTACACTAGCAAGGAGATCGGGCTGAAACTATAGCTACAAGCTATCCAAGGATGGTACTATAGAATGTCACCTCAAGGTAGGCCTAGTGGCGTCATCTCTTGGTTAGGCCGGAAACTTATCAATCCACCCTCGTAGTTACTTTTAAGTTCATATTTAAGTTCACATGAATCACCGCGACGTGATTCTTTTTCAAACAGGGGCATGTCACATAGCGTTCGTTATAATTATCATTTTGCCGGAATTAGTCATGCTTATGCGAAACTATACAATTGCATATGTTGTGATTCCGGGATGTATTAGGTCAAGTTCGCGAAACACGAAACCACTACACGGAAGCGCGGCCAATGTTGGCCGAGAAAGATTCCAGTAGTTCCATATGACGATGACGAAAACGAACACTGTATGGAGTCCGACAAAGGACAAGCGTAAATAAGGAAAGGGGAGATTGAATTAAGTGAAATTCACGTAGTGATCTTGTAGTGGGGAGGGGGAGGTGATTCATTTGTTCCTGTAATTCAGGAATCGTCGAGTGCATCATAGACTGGCGTTGAGTTAGCGATTACAGCTCTGTACAAAAATGTCCCGTCAGAAAGCAAATCACCTCCTTCACTGTCTGCGTATACTTATTGTTAACCATTTGTCATTAGTTTAAGGCTTTCAATCAATGTATCGAAAGTTGTGCTGGATATACGTATAACAGATTTCAATGGCAAACCTTACCAAACGACCCCGTCGCAACTACGACACAAGTCCTAAGAAGACTGCTTTACGCATATAAATTACACCTTTATTTAAATAAGGACATACTCTGCCGGGAACCATAAAAAACATAATTCACTTGAAACCTGATGGTTACGGAATCCATAGTTCAAGCGTTTCTTTTTTTCCATGAACATTTACCGTAAACTCGGTGCATGGTCGCTTTGATTTCTTGGCGTTTAATCAAGTAAAACGACAAAGTTCTATTTATTCTAAGCTCTTAATTTTCTAATGTTATTTCCTGGTTTCTTAAGTATAATCATCACTAACTATCTAGTTTTACCGCGGAAAAGAAGGCTATACTTTGGAAACAAGATCCATCTATCCACGTTATTTAAAAATGAATCCTTTGATCCTCTCGACTTGCTTTTATATTGTATGACTTCCTAATGGTTTCCCTAATGCACCATCCTTTCCCTACTTCTTTGCATAACTACTATATATACAGGAATACTATTCGGCATGCATAGCACATGTCAATTTCATTGTTATTATCCCGGTGTTCTGGAGATGTTCCACAGTGTCTGCAAATAAAATTTACCCTTTCACTTACCGGAGCCATAAATAACCACTCGTTTTTCATAAAAAGCTTCAATAGCATTAATCATTTCGTAAAAAAAAAATTCTCGTTGCAATTCAGTTTTGAATAACGGATCTTCCCTTCTAGCCATAGATTCAACTCAAAAGTTTTCGATACAATGACTGAAAGTAAAGGATAGTTTTCCCTACATATAAAAAGGTTTATTTCTACTATGGGACTGAATTTAGTCAGGAGGTTTGCTTGGTTAATTTGGAAATACATTTGATCTCTGTAATCGATTACTGATAGTTCGTTTTTATGTGATAAGAAACTATATATCTTCTTTTTAACTAACTTCAGTACAAACGTTACTTGCAACATTTAAATCTTTTCTCTTCTAGTTGACGGAATGTTTAATACAAAGTAGATGTTATTGTCATAGTGCATCGACAGTACTTGAATTATTTTATAGAAAGTATTTACGTTGTTTATTGGCACCCTGTAAATTGAGCTCAATATTTCTTAATTCGTCTAAAAATTGCGCACGGTCCAAAACCGAGGGATGAACTTTACTATTCTCTGCCGCGACTAATACATTAATATGATGGTCTAGCTTACACAAACAATCCCATGTTAAGGATGACAAAGTGAAAATGTTCTTTGGATGTCTACTTTATTCGCTTGTATAGTCCCCTCATGCTTCATTTGATTGGTGCGCTTCACTATACGGTTCAAGTTGTTCTCCATTGTTTAAACCCTCGCGTTTGTGAATGACAAATAGTTATTAATACATTGTATTGTTTTTTGTAAGATTGTCGTCTGCTGCTTCTCTATAAGTGATGAATGTGTTCTTGGTCTATGGCTAATTTCTTAATTTCTTTGATCAACAAAACTTAAGAATTTGTTTTCAATTTCGTTAGATGTTTCTACTTTTTACACGGCTGAATTTATTTCGTTAAGAATGCTGCTACATTCATCTCTTAACGAACTACTTGCTGCTAGCTTGTCACAAGCTTCACTAAATACTGTGTACGACAATATGCTATCCACCTCCGCTCATATCTTATGTTGGATACGTCCACTGACAGTAGTAATTTCCATTGGCTGTTAAAAATTACAAGGTCGTCTTTTCGAACATTGGACCACCATTAGTTGTTCCCATTTCCTTTATATAAAATTTTTGAATTTCCTTTGAAAATGAGAGAAATGTGGCAAGGACCCGAATATGCAGCAATATTACGCCCATCATAGTAGGTATTTCTAAACTTTTCTGTAAAATGAACATACGTAAGAATAGGATTTGGTTCATATTTAAAATCACACGACATTCGTTAATGTCCAGCAAACGTTTTGTTACTTAACATACATTGAATTTCATTTGATAATTTCAATTTGGGAGAATACTTAGCCAGCCTTGTTACGTTAACCTCCTTTAACTTAGGGTTATTTGCTGTACCATTATTAATGACATAGTTTATGTCGGATTTTTTTCTACTATCGTAAACGAGCTTGGATATAGTCCAGTCGGTAGAGAATTTTCCCGACATAAAGAAATAAAGAAATAAAATAAAGAAGGCAAGATATGCCTCTTAGAAAGAAAAATTTCAAATAAAAATTGTAAAGCAATGAAAAATCTTCAATTTGAGCTGCGGCTCGATCAATTTTGCCAATTGGTTATTGCACAAATCCCAAAAAACCGTCAAAAATTGCCATTTCTTGTATATTGATTGTTTATTGCAAAAATTACTTTTTTAGTGATTTTATCACATTGAAATGAAGGTTTCTAAATTTGAAATCGAACTGATTTTTGTGGGCGTAAATTGGTCAGTTTGTTAGTGAGATATTGTTAATTTTTTATCCCAACAGACATGAAGAGTTATTGCCGTAACTTTTTTTTGAGCTAAAATTTTCAGTTGCACATAGGTTCAATCTCTTTGTAAAGGTGGAGTTCTTCATATCCCGTTAGGGGCAAATCAAAACATTCATTTATATCCCCTTATTTATTGCTGTAAATAAGGGGGTCATTTTTCTTTATAAACAATTAGAGCTGGAGCGACCCCTACGTATCGTACGAATTTTGAACCGGGGAATATGAATGGGTGACTTCGAAACAAACATTAAAAGAGCAAAACGAATCTCCTACGACCAATAGGAGCCGAGTTAGCATTTTTCCTTTTAAACATCACAGATTAATTGTTTTTAAGGGGCATTTGATAGAGAAATCTTTATATTTTGTAGTATCGTTTTTAAAAATGTAGTAATGTTTTTTAATGCTAAAAGACCTATCTAAAGTGATCAGTAATTTCGGACAACGCAACGTAGTTAGCGGTGTGAATAAAACATTGCAGGCTGGCGCGTCGCGTCAGTCGGAGAACGCGGAGAAGATAGTCGCATATCTGAAACACAAAAAATTATGAAAAGTGGTATAATTGGATGTCGGATGTCTCTACCGACTGTTTAATAGTTTAGGGCATAGTCCTGATACCTTTATTGGCGTGAACAGGCGCACTTTGTCTCCGACGATGAACTGTACATGACGATGTTTTTTGTCATACACAACTTTATCCTTTTGCTGTAATTGATGTATCATATCCCTTGCTTGTTGTCGGGCTAATTCTACATTTTTGTCCTCTATTGGTTTATTTCCAGAACCTGTACCTAAAGCAACTTCCACAGATAGTCTTGCATTTTAGCCATCTACTAAGTAAAACATTGCGAAGGTGCTTGTTCAGTTGAGTGTTGTAGAAAAAGAAAAGCTGAAGACCATTTGCGTTGGTTTCTATCGGTAAACTTCGCTAGCATCTCACAAATTGTTCCATTCGTTTTTTCTTCAGATGCTCAATATTGAGGTCTATACGAAGTACTAATTTTATTTTTAAAGGTGCTAAAAGCTTAGCCGTCAATTTTGACTGGTGATATTTTTTTCAAATAGCCTGCGTGTTTCTATTACATCATGCACTAAAAAGTCTATATAATGTGAGTTGTTATTATTGACGGTAGAGCTTTTATTTCCAACTAACGTGTCGCGTAGTCTATGCCGACTACTATGTATTTTTTCCCACTTTAGTCTCTTGAAACCGATCCTTCGATGTCTACCCCTATATGATCAAACGGGTTTTCTGCTAATCTTACCGGCTGCAATAATCCAGCAGGTTTTTGCTTTGAAACTCTTATTAATTTATTTATGTTGAAAGAGTTAAACTAATGACAAATGGTTAACAATAAGTATAAACAAACAACAAAATTATTAGTTATGGGACAAGAGCCACTACAGGAGATTATAAAATAATTCAAAGTGGTCTATATTCTGTCGAAACTGCCAGACGCGGATCGCGATTTCGATCTTTTTGGATCTCATCAGCGCGTCGCAGACTGCTCCGACAGAACACAGACCAACTTTTACCTGCTGTCTTAACAGTGCGTTTTAGAAAATACTACAAATGGCGCAGTAAACGCCATCTGTAGCACGATGCTACATTTTAGGATTACGTATGCTCCAACAAGGTCCACTTGTGTGGATAATCGCGTTTCTCAAAGTCGACACAATATATTCCGGAATCACGACAAATGCAGTTGCCTACGATGGTTCCGCATTTTGAAAGGCAGGCTTAATTTCGGGAAAATGAAAAATATAATTTTGGAAATTACTAATAGATACTAGTGATCCAGAAAAGGTACATTGTTTATTCACATTATCGTTTAAAATATTATTAAAAAAAATAAATTTCTTAAAAATATGTCATTGATGTACATAAATTAATAGTTTCAACGACTTAGTAAGTACGTTTAGTCACTGTTACTGCAGTTACTTCTCTTTAGAGTATTGGTGCGAAAAACGAGGGGCTCGGATTCGATTTCTGGCAAGGGCGTGACAGCGGCAACGATTTAAATTGAAGTAATTAATAGAGGGGTAGAATATTAATTCAATTTAATTTTTAAAAATTATTCTAATTAATATCTGATGATCCCTCGTCTTTCAGGTGAATTGTTCCTGATGTATGTATGTATGTACGTAGGTAGTAATGAGGTTAAATATTTAAACTAAATGAGAATACATTCCTTTTGAATTTCTTTATGTCTTAGTCTTGTTTCCTCCAGTTTTCTTTCAAAATTCATTCTTGTTTGATCCACTGCTCCTTTTGTTCTTTTTTCTCGGGCTTCTGCAGTGTTAACAATTGCTTCTCTTCGCGATAGACAATGTTGTAAGTCGTGCAATAGCTTGTCCTGAGCTTTCTTCAACTGGCCCAATCTCACCTTATAATAATAAAAAAGTTTTTACTGTCTGTAATTAACTATTAAATTAAATATATGCGATTATGTACTTGCATTCGATGAATCTCAAACTTCATCGTGCCTACTTCACCTCCTTCGGCTTGTTCTTCTTTAATTTGCTTTTTAAGCTGAAGGACCATTATAAGCCTTTTCTCCCATACTAAACTTTCACGGTTAGCTTCAATTAGTTCTTCGCTAATTGTTTGCTTTTCCTTTTCAATCTCTGTACAATCCGATTCTAAATTTAAAAGCTCCATTTCAGCAGTCTACAAATAAGATAATTCTCTGTTTATGTTTATTGAGTTTTGTAGACTCTAGATTTAGAATTCAGAGTTTGGATCGCGTCACTTTGTCTGTTCTTGACATTTTGCCTTCAATCATACAAGAAATTTTCAAATCATTTTCGATCAAAACAGATTATCTAAAACGGAGAAACAACCATTCTGCTTCAGATAATCCAACGACATATAAAAACAGCTCTTCTGTAAAACTTGTGGAAGAACCCTGAAGATATCTCGTATGGTCGAGGACGAAACGTCAACCACAGATAAACTGATGCAGTACCAATATAGTACCAATAGTGACATATGTAAGCAGGCAATTATCAGTTACAGTTCAACAATAAAATGAATCAATATAAAGAATTCAGTAATTATTAAGAAATGTTTCACAATGAATGCTATGCAGATTCTATCAATTCTATAAAATTAATTAATAGGTGCATAAGTTCGCGTGTTGGACGTTGTACAAGTAATAAAATGCATTATCAATTATTAACCAATATAAAATACTTATACTATTAGATGATAAGGTGACATCTGTTAATATATAAATCTCATAATTCAAAGAGTTAATGATGAAAAGTATACGTAAACAAATAATTGTAGAATGCTTCTTTTGAATGAAAAGCATACATATACAAAGCATATATGAAAGAATCTATCAAATATTCTGCCCGCTTCGCAGGGCTTATTACAAACACCGACAAGTTCAGACACGCTTGGTGCAGCCGAAAGTAGGGAGACATTTTCGCTTGTTACTGTCCGTTTATTTAGAGAAAGGTACAGCGTGAGCGATGCACACAAACGAATGTCGACTGTAGACGGATCCCCGGGGTATGCCCAGTAGTTTGCCGTCGGATGCTTCCGATCAAAGCCCAATCTAAGCCTTTGACACCGTAAATAACTTCTAACAGTTACGCCTGTTATGGCAGTCCGCGCACATCGATCCGCCATTGTGTACCTTTCTCAAACTGAACGGACTCAAACGCGTTTATCATTAGCGCCTGCAACTAGCGTACCACGTGTCCGTAGGTACCCTTATTTATACTTTTAGTAACTTAATATTTCCATTCGTAATAAGAAAGAATCTACGTAAATAATACCCGAGCGGTTATTACACATTACAATCTTATGTAGCACATTCCACTTTTTACGGTCACTGAAAAAAGACAATTCTCCGCAGTTCCTGCCTAAACGATGTGATACTTATCTCAACTAATTCCATGTATACATGTATCTAATACAGGTTGTAATAAAATAATATAAATGTTTGTTTTGTTCAGAAGATATATGTAAAAAGTAAAAGCGATAGATAGATATATGCCGGCAAAGGGCGAATTAAGAGGTGGCATTTCTATAAAAGTGTACACGTTATACCTTCGATAAAATTAATAAAATTAAAAGTACCTATTAAATTAATTAATGTGTTTAACATATTTAAACCAAACTGCTTCAAAATGTGCTATATGAAATCGGTTCGGGGTGTATTCAAACGTTACATAAACTTTTGACGAAAACATGAGTGAATATTAATCATTTACCATAGTGAATAAAAATTAAAACCCTTCTAAGCAGGGAAATTATTGATTTTCAGGGGTCTAAAATTCTTCGTCTGGTAATAAATAGAAGTTTTATGCTTCATTGTGGATGATAATAGAAAAGAAAGATGGGGTACACGAACAAACGCGGTTTTGTTATTGTCACAACTTAGGAATACCTTTCTATTACTTCAAAGTTAGGAAGCTATAATTGGTTTCATTAGTTTAGCTGCTAATATGTTTTAGTACTTAGTATTATATAGTAATAGTAGTATAAGAGAAAAATCTGTAGGCAGCAAGACTTGATCTTGATAAATTAACGTTGTATGCAATTACTTTCACCTGAGAGAGGCAGTCGTAGTATGAGGGACAGATGAACTAAATTTGCGTCTTGAGATGAGAGCATAAGTTTATTAGATGTAGATGTACAATGCAGAAAATTGGAAACTAATAATAAGTAGATAAAAAGGACAACTTTTTACCAGCAAATACATCAACACACACTAGAGGTCACTGGGTACAATAAGACAGTTGTTTTAGTTTATTGACAATATTACATGCGCGCAAAATAAAGAAGTTAGTTTAACATTCTCCGAAATAAATGCAACTTCTCACGTCGAATTGTTAAAAGTGGAAAAATTTTCACCTCGATTTCGTGTTTTAACATTCACATAAAACAGCCTCAATTAGAGAATCTAGACAGCTACGTCTTTAACTGCGGATGATACCGTGGAATGAATTCGTATGTACCATATTTTACATTACTCAAACTAGGACCTATATCCTTTTTTCTAATTTGCCTCACCTCTAACTGGCCAATGTACTCGTTTTGTTTGAAAATCACATCTTTGTCTAAATTATATTTATTTCCACGAAGATTATTATTTTTCTCATTTAATGTGGTAAGACGGTTTAGCATGATCGTTGTATTTTTTTCAATTTTATCAGATTCCTTTTTATACGCTTCCAACTCGTCACCGATAGTCAGATTCTTTTGAGTAAGTAGCATAATTTCTAAAAAATAAAAAAGGAACATGGAGTATATATTTTTTATAAAAATGTAAAAGGTTTATATATGAATATTTTGTAAAATTTGAAATCAATAAAAGTTGTAGCTTACGTTTTTTCATAACATTAATATCCCTTAACTGATTTTGTCGTTTCTGTGTAAGACCGACTATGTACGCCTGTTCCCTTAACCAATATCGTTCTAACTGTTTTATATCTTCATTTATATCAACTAAATTTTTCTCCAGTGTTTGAATTTTTAATTCCAACGGCGATACTTCAACTCCCTAAGGTATCAATTTATACTCGTTGTAACTAAACTTTTATTACAAGACAAAAATGACTTTGTCACCACGTACCCCTGTTTGCTGCATAATTGTCTCAATTTTCTTGGTCAGAATGTTGATTTCGCGCCGTTTTTTCAAAAACTGCCCTTCAATTTCAGTGACCAACGTCTTATTTGCCTTTATTTCTGCATCATATGAAGTTTGTTCCTTTTCTACTTCGTTAATAGTTTGCTGAATTTTTTCAATTAGGAATTTTTGCGTTTCCACTTCCATTAAAACTTTTGCGTTCAAATTTTCACTGTTTGCTAAACTAACTTCCTACAAGAATACATATTAGTACAATGTTACTGTTCACTGGATCACTTACAAGGTCTCTATTTTTGTCCTTTATTTCCCGTAGCAATTTCTGTAAATACTTTGATGCTTTATCATTTGTGATTTGCTCTTCTAATACAGCCAGTATTTGATTATCCAATTCTCCTTTTTGCAAATCAATAGCTTCAATGTCACGTTGAAGATTCGCATCAACTTGACCTTTTTCTGCGTTTTCCTTCAAATAAATTTAATGAATAAGGGCTTTTAGCGACTTCACATTTATTTACGGCTTTAATTAAATCCACGTCTTTTTCAGTTTGCTCGATTATCCTTTTCAATAACGCGATTTGATCGTCAATTTCAAATTTCTTCTTATACTCTAGGTCGAGTCTCTTTGAATAATTTACGATATCTTGTACAACACGATCTTTAAAAATGCTGAGTTCTTCACTACGTTGCATCTCCCTTACTCCTAACTTTTTCACAGCATCAATCTCTGCTAAAATTGCTCGTAATTTTTCTGATTTCTTTCTGCAAAATTCAAATAAACATTAATATGAAATCAACTTAATTTAATTTTATGATTTCACATTAAGTTTGATAATTTTAAAATATTAACCGCTGCAAAAAGTAATAACTTTCAAGTATTCCAATAAACATAATATTCAACTTATGGGGAACAAATTAATGCACCATTTTTATGCGTACTTATTTTAAAGGCAAAAAAATGAAATTGATAGGCTGCATCCGAATTACAAATTTTTACTTACTCCAATTCATTTTCCATAGAATTGTAAACCTTATCTCGGTAATTGATAGCAACCAAAAGAGAATTCCAAGATTGCATAAGACATTTGTGTTCATTATTAAACGTTTCTAAATCAACATTGGCCAGTGCTATTTCATCAGCTAGTTTCTCCCTCTCTTCCTCTTTTACTCTTATTTGCATGTCCATAGTTTCTATTTCTCCTTCCAATCTCCATATTTCTTTCATAAGCTTATAAATAAATCCATCCTGTTCTCTTTTTTCCGCAGCTGCTTTAAGTTTGTCTTTTCTTGATTTTTCAAATATTCTTTGGTTTACAGCTAATTCCGATTCGACAGTTTCTTCCCAAGTTGACATTTGTTGATGAAGTAAATCAACCGCTTCTAACTCTCTTCTCAGCCCTATTTCTGAAAATATAGTTTTAGAATTAGTCGTTATTTTAACATTGTCGTGTATTGTTTAGCAAGAGATAATAATTTTTAAATCGTTACTAGTACTATGATGAATAAATAAACACTAGTTTTCACTAATTTATTTTCCAGTTCTTACTCTTAGCACATGTTTCAGCTGTAATAACGTTATCTGTTTTCACTCTGTAGTACTAACCCTTTGATAAGGACATTACAGCTTAAACATATGTTAGAGTAAAATCTGAAAAATAAATTAAGGAAGTATACTAAACCAGTAATTTTTATTAATCATAGTATTTAAAAATGTTCCACCAAAGTATCTGATTAACTATAATTTCGACACGATGTGTTAGTTTTAACTGTTCACAATGGTCACATATATGGGGAACTTCTATCGTCTCATCCTACAGTCTATCTTCTACTTACGAACATATAAAGGAATAAAATAATTCGAAGTGGTCTGTGTTCTGTCGAAACTGTCAGACACGGATCGCGATTTCGACCTTGTTGGATCTCATTAGCGCATCGCAGACAGTTTCGACAGAACACAGACCAATTTTACATGCTGTCTTAACAGCACGTTTTATAAAATAACACAAATAGCGCGGTAAACGCCATCTGTAGTACAATGCTACATTTTAGGATTAGGTATTCTCAACAAAAACAACACAGACCACTCCGAATTATTTTATTCGATAATGGTAACGTGCCTATCACGTAGTGGTAAACTACGTCGGGATTTCGTTTCAGCAAGTAGATATCCATGTATTTAAATGGACCTTGTTGAGAATACGTAATCCTAAAATGTAGCATTGTACTACAGATGGGGTTTACCGCGCCATTTGTGGTATTTTACGAACATAAGTTAGGTACCAATAATACGTTATTTTTATATAAAAGTTCAAAACTAAAAAACAATAGAACGTTTTAGTTACCTTCTCTTTCAGCTTCATGTAATTTTGCTTTAGTCTCTTTATATTCATTGATGGCTATTTGTAAATCATGCTCAACTTGATCTTTTGCGGCAATAACGTTCTGCAGTTGTTCTTCGCAAAGTTTCAGTTCTTCCTGTTGCTTATTAAGTTGTTGTTGAATTTCATAAACCTCGACACCCAATTTTTCACGTTCTACGTTCAACTTTTTGGTTCCAGACTCCTTTAATGATAATCACGTAAATAGCCACAGATAGTTATTGCGAATACATGATGCTGCCATATTGTATTTATCTATTTGCAAGATATTTTTTTATTTTAATTGTATTGTGGCGGAAAAATGTAGATTTTCCATAAATATTTAATATTATTTCTTAAACTTTATTTAATATTCTTTTAAATTTATTTTTGCATCACTTCAAATATTATTTCACTGCTTTTGAACTCCTTATCTTGTGCATGTCTTTGTTTCTTTTCAATCTAAACTCTATTGATCTCTTAATCATTTTTACCTAGAAATCACTACTTTTGCTTCTTCAACATTCTATCGAATTCACTATTTTTTTTTTTTTGTTTAGATTATGCTCGAGGAGGGGAAATCGAGCATTTTTAAAATCAATGAAATGGCGCGGGAAACTTGAACTTTAATTGAAGGCATGTCGATAAAAGATTCAGCTACGTCTAAATAAGGAATTTAATGTGTCAGCATGTTTATAAAAATAATGTGCCATTTAAGATACTTGGAATTGAACCGCCATCCTTACATCCATGAATTCAAAATATATCACACTTGAAGTCAGAATTATTTTAAACAACAGTCAAATTTCACACCAAGATCGCAAATATTGAGTACTATTGTACTCAGTACTTCACTAAGTGCAACGAGAACTTTACTAGAATTAACCCAAATGTCAAACAACTACAGAACAGGACGTCAAACCCTCAACAATATTACAGAAGTAGAACACCGAAGTATCAGACCGATAGTAACGAAGTGATACGAACTACAAGTAATAATTATTAGGTACTAACAATTATGTGTGACAAAAACGGCGTCAATGCGGAAAGTAACTGTTATTATAAAAACTATGAAAATTCTTAACCATCGCTTCCACATTATGAAATTAATAATAAATCGTGGCACAGAGTAGAAAATTTTCTGTAAGGTGTCTCGGAAGAAAAATTTAACACAATTCTAATGATACGATATAAGTATTTTGAGGTTAAGAACCTACCTGCTGCAATACAACAAAGTTGCAATAATGTGTTTGCAACGTTCTCTTAAATCGGCTTTGTACGTGCAAGTCATTGATATGATATTGCTTAAATCACCCAGAATAACCTCGCCAATTATATAACGTGAATCACTTTTTAAATTCGAAGTTTGTAAAAAGTAGGCATTCAACTTGACGGAATTTGAAGGCTAGCTTCCGGATTTGCTATTTCCGAATTTTATAATGTGATTGGCATTAAAAACACGCTCACCTTCAACAGAAGTTCCTTTCCGAGGCTTTGTGTCAGCCCAATCACATATTGTGTCAATACTTATCATTTTATCGTAATTTAAAAACTTGGAAATTGCACGGTACACTATAGGAACTACGATAAATTTTCCCTAATCGGCGCCATGTTTTTAGGCTCCTCCCATTTGACGGATCCCAATACTCTTAGGTACGTTTTGGCGGTTGCTGCTGTCACCTCCTTGTAGCTTAGTTGCTGAGTACTGATGCATAAAACTAGATACTCGGATTCGATTCCCAGCAAGGGAATGAAGCGGCAACAATTTTCCTCATTAATTTGAGGTTAGTGAGTAAAATTAATTCAAAAAATAATTCACTAAAACAAACAATGATTACTTTGCAAATTTTATGCAATAAAACCTTTTTATTTTAAAAAACCATCACTATAGAAACAACGCACAACGAATCGGTAAATGTTGGTTTATTTTTAGAAGGCCAAATTTTAAAATCTTTTATCCATTCACAATTTGATGTGCTGTTATATTCCCAATCGTTAGAGAGAATGGTAACGATGATTGACTATCAGATAGGGGAGATTTCAATGAATGAAATCGTTTACTCACTATTTAAATACAAAACTCTATAAACCAAAGTAGGGTAAAGACAGGAACTTTTTCAACACTAGTAAAGAAAAGAACAGTTCTAGTACCTCAATAAGAAATAGAAAACGTATTTATTCCAGAAACAGTAAACACCGTGGACAACTATCATTGTAAAGTCATACTTCACCGTATACACAAACAAAATGTTAATGGCAACGTAGATACGATTTATCAAATTAAAGTTAAGACGTTTACCGCTAAGGAAATGGTATAATAAAATCGGATTTTCAGCTGAACACACAGTGAACAAGTTGAAGCTACGGTCAGTTTAAATTATCTTGAGGACGAGGCAAAACGTAAAATCGAAGTCCTTTATATAATACGGATTTATATTTTATAAATAAGACAATGTCTTAACGTTCACTAACAGTATCAAACATAAATTATTGTCGAATTATTTATTATTATTATTAAATTAGACATCAAAAGTGGGTACCATCAGATGGAAATAGACAAGATCAGTATAACTGGCACTTTTTAGGAATGCCATTCGGTCTCAGAAATGCGGCTGTGTACTTCAGGCGTAATGAACGATGCGTCGAAAGGACTTATCAATAAAGTTCGCCTGGTGTATTTGGACGATATATAATAATCTTAGGAAAAGGTTTTGAAAGACAGCTTTTGAGGATGGTAATCCAAACATTTGAAGTTTACATAAGTTGAAACTAAAATCGGTGAAACAGGATTTTTATTTAATAGAAATTAACTAATTAGGTCGTATAATATCATGAGACGAAATATGGTCAAACCCTAAACTCGCGGATGATACTGTAATGTTCGTGGGTTTAACAAAATTTGTAACATTAAACGTGTTCAAGTTTTCCTGCAAACCTTCCTTATTTGCTATTGTCTTTTTATGTTCATCCTCCGCATTTTCGAATGTTCGAATTGCGTATATACAAGTATTTATTAGCAACACTTACTTGGAACATTCAAGTAGTATTAATTGTCAGGATTTACAGTTTAGAACCAGTCCCGCGTTGATAATATCCACATTAGAAGTGTGTGAAGCACGTGTCCGCACTAATCAAGTATAGTGGTAATTGGGTGAGTCTCTTTTCAGTTTATTTTTATATCGAGTTATGTAAAATATTCGTTCAAATTAAATCGTTTTGTTTGCTCTTCTTCTATTTAATTTATTTATATGAATACAATATCAATACAAACAACTTATTAAATAATCAGAACAGGCAACACGAAAAGATTGTTATTATACCTACCGAGGTTTTATGGAGAAAAACTGGCTTCAATTTCATTTCACTTACCAACTCAAAAACTTCGCTTTTAATCGTTTCAATTTGTTTCAAAAGATGTTCTTTAAGAGCTTTTTGAAACTTTTCCAAAAGCGGATTGTCAGGAGAAAGGAGAGTTTCTTCGGTTACGTCTTGTTCCTCCTCTTCTACAGTTTCCTCTTCTTGTTCTGGCCACATACATTCTAAGCTTTCTTCTTCTTCTTCCCCAATTTGCGATTGTTCGTCGTCATCGTTGCTAGAAAAAATAATCTAATAACTAATAAATATAACGGAAGTCGAAATTTTTATTTTTTTCAAATTGAATTTTAATTTAGGTATGGTAAGAGTTAAACAATAATCCTTTAAATGCTCTTCCTAAGTACAAAATTGCCTGAACCTATGAGTTTTGGCATTAATTGTTTTTTAAACATTTTTACAAGCAATAACACATTTTCGATTTAATATTTTATTTTATAATTAGAGAGAATCCGGGCAGCATGAACTAACTGTAATATTACTTTCAAGGGAAACTTTAAAGAAGAAAAATGAATTAGGCACCTCCTAAAGGTTAGATTACGGTAAGTTTAGATCGCCCTGATTTGAAAATTATTGTAGATATTAATTTTTGTCTCTCTAATTAATAATTCGTTTCTTTTTTTTTTTTCTTGCTTCAATACTATTATTTGTCAAAATGATCAAACAAATAATAATTTAAAAAAGCTATTAAGAAATAGGCGAGATAGGTTGGTAATAAAGGTCTAGTCAGAGACATATTAGAGGCAGAAACGGGAGTTAGGAAGGATAGAGGTAGACCCAGATTGGATTACTATTTGCAAGTAGTTAAGGATGTGGGTTGTTCTAGTTTTAGGGAAATGCGAAGATTCGCTCAGGATAGGAAAGAGCGGAGGTGCGTATCCAACCAGTCCTAGGACTGACGACTTTATGATAATAATAAAAGATGCAGGCAGGGTGATTCTATTTTCGGAAGTCATTTAAATTTTTCAGTATTTTATGCAAATTATATCCGAAAATTAATTTATGCAAGAATTATGAATAATAAGCTTATCACAGCCATCTAAAAATTGTAAGCTTGTGATGAGGCTAATTAATAATAGATCCGAATAGATTTGCCCAGGCTTTTTATAAACAGCATCCATAGTTGAGAGAAGTTATATCTGTAAATGTTGTAGATATTAAGAAAACCTGGAAATTTTTTGTATCTTTTGAACACTGTTCTATAAATGTTAACAGCTTTTGCAGTTATGTAACATACATACCTGTGCTGAAAAACCGTTACAGATTTTTGTAAATGTAAAATGTTTCAGCCAGACCTTATTTATGTTTAGAAATCATCATCATCATCATCATAAGGTCGTCAGTCCTAAGACTGGTTGGACACGTACCTCCACTCTTTCCTATCCTGAGCTCAACTTCGCATTTCCCAAAAACTAGAACATCCCACATCCTTAACTATTTGCGAACAGTAATCTAATCTAGGTCTACCTCTACCCCTCCTAACTCCTGTTTCTGCCTCTAATATGTCTCTGACTAGACCTTCATGCCTGAGAAGGTGTCCTACCAACCTATCTCGCCTATTTTTTATTGACTTCCATAGAGTCCTCTGTTCTCCTATTCTTTCCAATACCTCTTCATTTCTAACCTTTTCTACCCACGATATCCTCATCATCCGCCTATAACACCACATTTCGAACGCTTCTAACCTTTTCTTTTCCGCCGCTCCCACTGTCCATGTTTCGCACCCGTACAACGCCGTGCTCCAAACATACACCTTTAACAACCTTTTTCGAATTTCTAAATTAACCGTTCGCGAGCATAGAAGTGACTTCTTTTTATTAAAGGCGACACGACCCTGCGCTATCCTCTGCTTTATATCCCTACTACTCCTTCCATCCTGACTTATCTGACTTCCTAGGTATCTAAAATCAGCCACTTCTTCTAATTTTTCGTCTCCTATCTTTATATTCGCTCTTTCCCTACTTTTTCTTCCCTTGCATACCAGTATTTTAGTTTTACTTTTATTTATTTTCATACAGTACTGATCTGTCAGTACCGCTTCCATTTTATTTAAAGCTATCTCTAGGTCCTTCTTGCTAGATGCTAATACTGCTATATCATCTGCAAATCTAAGCATACTAATCTTATGCCCTTGCACATCTTTCCCTACAGCTGTACTGTCTTTAATTATGTTGGTGGCGTTTTCGATGTATAGATTAAAAAGTGGCGGTGACAGTGTGCGTCCCTGTCTGACTCCCTTCCTAATATTTACTTCTCTAGGTTGCATCCCCAGCTCTATAACTGCCTTTTGCTCTTTATACAAACTAAGTATCACTCTTGTATCTTTGTGTAGTCGTAAGAGATGTGACTATCAAAAGTTGTGGTTCTGAGAAGAACCGATTTTATAATAGGGTTGGTCACATTTCTGCATCAATGATTAGTTATGACACTATTGCAGCATCCGCTGATTGACACTATTGCAGCATCCAAATTATAGTGAGCCTGGTATTAGACTCATTTATTCAATTATTTGCACGCTATTTATATAAAAATTATTTACATTGGTTTAATGGCAATAGTTATTTCAGCAGTTTACATATGTGCGTGTAAATGTTTATGACCTAGTTAGTCACACTGTATTGCGATTTTACTAAAGCGGCACAATTGATGAACTTTAATTATTACATATTTGAATTGTTTATTACTATACCGAGTGTTCCCACAGGACCCCCTTCCAGTGAGGAACGATGTGGTTTAACCTGTTCGGATATAACTTGGAAAATGTACTCGACGACCGGACCGGGTTGTTGTATTTGCTGGTCGATCGTCCATTTTCTTCTTTGTAGGTATAGGTCGAGGATGTTGTTCATCTGCCACGATATACGTTGGTTTTAGTCTCTGGATAGATACTGCTTTGTTTGTGCCGGGAATGTGAATCCGCTTGAGTTGTAGGGATTGGTTAGAGTTGAGATATTTTTGAAGTTCCCTATCGGATTCCGGCTCAGAAGAAATTGCTTTGTAATCAACATGTTGATAACTCAGACATTCGTGAGAGTGCGTCGGCAATAATGTTATCTTTCCCAGAAATATGTTAAATGTTCGTTGAGAGCTGACTAATGAAATTGAGGTGCCGTGACTGTCTGGGAGAGCATTTGTCAGGGTTCTGACGGAAAGCAAAGGTAAGAGGCTTGTGATCTGTAAAAATTATGAAGTCACGGGCTTCGAAAAAATGGCGGAAACGGTTAATTGTGCGATAAATCGCGAGAAGTTCTCAGCCGAATGCGCTGTATTTAGCTTCTTTATTCGAGAGTTTAGAGGAAAAAAATGCAAAGGGTTCCCAGGTTTCATTGTGGAATTGTTGTAACGCAACGCCCAAGTGATGGTTGGATGCGTCACAAAAAATTGCTAAGGTAGCATCTGGTTTCGGATGGTGCAGGAGAGTAGTCTGCGCTAGTTGCTCCTTACTTAAATTGAATGCCTCGTCGGCTGTGGGATTCCACTGTAGTGGTGCATTTCCTCTGATCTTCACCAGAAGAATTTCATTCAAAGCAGAATGAGTGCGGGCAGCGTTAGGTAGGAACTTTTTGTAAAGGTTGAGCATACCCAGGAATCATCGCAATTGTTTTGCGGTGGTAGGTTTGGGGAAATTGAAGATTGCTGTTACTCTGTCGGGTAAAGGGCGTATTCCATTTGCCGAGACAGAATAACCTAGAAAATAGACTTCTCGTTTACCAAAATTGCATTTTGCTTGATTAAGCAATATTCCGTACGAATGCAGGCGAGTAAATAAGATGTGTAAATCCTGCTGCTGTTCAGCATTTTCGGATGCTATCAGTATATCGTCAATGTAAGCAAAACAGAAGTCAAGATCGTGTAACACTTCTTCGATAAAGCGTTGGAATGTTTGGCTGGAGTTGCGTAATCCAAAATTCATGTACGGAAACTCGAACAAACCAAACGATGTTGTAATTGCTGTTTTCAGGATGTCCTCTTCTGCAACTGGAATTTGGTTATAAGCTCAAACTAGGTCGATAGTAGAAAAAATTTTCTTGTTTGCCAGTGCATGTGTGAAGTCGTCAATGTTGCGTCCAGGATATCTGTCCGGGATTGTTCTCGCGTTGAGAGCACGGTAGTCTCCGCATGGGCGCCATTCATCGTCTTTCTTTGGGAACATGTGTAGTGGCGATGCCCAGGGGCTGGAAGAGGGACGTGCGATACCCAGTTGTAACAACGTTTCAAATTCTCTCTTGGCTGCAGAGAAACGGTCTGGAGCTAAACGTCGTGGTTTACATGCTACCGGTGGACCGGGGGTAGTGTTGATATAGTGCCTTGTTGCATGTTTCGAAAAGGTGATCTGGCCGCTGGGTCGAGTTAATAAGGGAAAATGCTGAAGTACACATCCTGTCAATCCACTGTTCCTTAGCTGCCCTACACTTCCTAATTATTTCCAACTTTATAGCTTTATAGCTTTTTTGCCCTTCTTCGTCTGTCCTGTTTTTGTATTTCCGCCTTTCGTCTATTAATCCTACAATCTCATCTGTTATCCAGGGTTTCCTACTTTCGTTTTGTTTATGACGTAGTATATCTGTAGCTGCTGACTTTAGGCAAGTTTTAATGCAGTTCCATTCTGTCTCTATGTCCCCGTCATTCGTTTCTCCCGCCGCCTTTAGTATTTCGTCTGTCCTTTTACCTAGCCTATCACGCGCTCCGTTACATTTTAGTCGAGACATCTCCTACCTTCCCTCTTTTTCAGAATTTTCAATTTAAGGTTGGTCTTCATAACTACTAAGTTATGATCGCTATCTATGTCTGCTTCAGTTACAAACCTTCACTTGATTTTTAATTCTTTACCTAACAAGTGTATAATCTAACTGATATCTCCCTAAATCACCTGGCATCTTCCACGTATAACGCCTCCTAACGTGATGGTTGAATAAAGTATTGGCGACGGTTAAGTTATGTTTATCACAAAATTCTATCAGCCTGTCTTCCCTATCATTTCTATTTCCTAATCCTAAAGAACCTGCTATTGCACCCACTTTACCTTCACCTATGTATTACTGCATTGAAATCTCCTTAAACTACGAGGGTGGATTGATAAGTTTCCGGCCTAACCAAGAGATGACGCCACTAGGCCTACCTTGAGGTGACATTCTATAGTACCATCCTTGGATAGCTTGTAGCTATAGTTTCAGCCCGATCTCCTTGCTAGTGTAGGTTTGACAGCACG